CTATATATATATATATATATATATATATATATATATATATATATATATATATATATATATATATATATATATATTTCAACATCAAACTCCTTCTAAGTTTATGTCTATGTTTGAGAAAGAGAAAGAGGGAGAAAGAGAGAGAGAGAGAGAGAGAGAGAGATAGAGAAAGAGAGAGAGAGAGGCAGGAAGATACAATGTGACATGACTTGAAGCACTTACGTTATGAATGCAAGTAAACATTTACAATTATTTTTGTTTTAACTAGTTTCTCTATTTTTGAATTCTAAAAAAATTCAAAACGAAAAATGCAGCCTGGCTTAGGTGATAAATTTATACTAAAAAAAACCCGAACTTACTAAACTTTGACAATGACGTGTACATATACGTCACACTAGCCAAGGTGAACTATCTATGTATAGGTAAAGTACTGTATGTAAAAACCGAAGACCGAATCACCTGTACTCGTGAAATTGTACTTTTCAGACCCGTTAGGTTCTGGACTGGACTGTACTCAATACATTGTACTTTCTGGACCTCTGCTTTGTACTATTTTTAATGACAATATTTTTTTTTTCTGAAAATTTGTTGTTAGTTAGTTTGTTTGATCGAGTTTATCATCGTTCGTTTGTTGATATATTTATAATTTTATGTCTGTCTGTGTGTATTTGTGTGTATTTTTGTGAGGGTATATAGGCCATATACATTTGCATGTGAAATATGGACTTAGATATGTAAGGTGCTGATTCAAATTATTAAAGATGTGTTGTGCTTCTTCGTGAACGCCCTTACCAGAGATATTTCAAAATTTGTAATATTTACAAGTTGTTAAACGTATTCGGTGTCATTATTATAACCTCGCATTTTTTTTTCTCTCTTCTTTTAAATCTTGCTTTCTTCAAAATTGGTGTTTAACATATTCTTCGGCAGAATTCTTCTTACTGAAATTTAATTCAAACCTCGCGATAGAGTCGTTAGAAATTTTTCTTTTTCATAAACTTGAC